AGTAATTCTATTAAAATTTGACAATCAAGGATGCCTTGCTTTTACAAAAAATCCAAAGCATCACTCAAGAATCCAATATATTGATATTCAACATCACTTTATAAGAGAAAAGATTGAAAACATAATAAATGACATAAAGTATTGTGCTATAAAAGATATACTTGCTAATTTGTTGACAAAGGCATTAATGAAAGATAAGCATCACATATTAATAAATATATTAGAATTAAAAGCTTTTAATTAATAATAAAGTAAAAATATTAAAATAAGTAGGTAAAAATAAAATTAAAATAAATTACAAAGTATATACTAAGAAATATCTTTAAATTATGTAAGATGGCTAAAGATATACTTGATATATTTTTTGATAAATATAAAAATCAAATGATGGAAGTTGTCTCTCAAGGAAATAATTACTATTTATAAATAATAGATGTTAGAAGTGACAATCATCTTACGCTACACTTCTCTTTGTGTGAAACTTTATTGCTGCTATGTGTTGATACTTCTAACTTATGTTTCTTTAATAATCTTTGATTTTTTTTATCTTCTTATTTTTAAATTTTGACTTAACTTATCTTATTCTACAATTTTTTAGTTTGGAAAATGTAGCAACTTTGACTTGGGCTTTAGAATTTTTATTTTATAATATATAGATTTTTTTAAAACTTTGAAAATACCTTTAAATTTATTTGATGGTTGATTATTTTATATATATATATATATATATATATATATATATATATATATATATATGAATTATTCTAAAGATATATATATATATATATATATATATATATATATATATTTGTAAATATTGAAGATTTTACTATTTTGGCTTTTGAGTTGGCTTTGAAAATAGGTAAGACTTTATAGGTTTTTATTTAACCTAATTCCTTGTTTTAAGGATCTACAAACTTAGTGAATACTTAAAATTCTTTTTAAAAAATTAATTTCTAAAAATAAGACTTTTAATTCAATATTTTTTATTAAATTTTTTTTATTTTTTAAAATAAAATTAATCTATTTTTCTATTTTTTATGCTTTTAATTCTAATAGTATGTTTAAAATCTTTAAAAAGTCCATATTTTAAATAATATTAGATTTTTAAGATTATAAAATTATAGTTTATTTAGTATGTCAAGAAAAACAAAAATAAAAACAAAAACAAATTATACATAGATTTCTTTACATATTGACAATAAAAATATATAGATTATATAAACATATGTTTTGTTGCAGTTGAAAATATTATATTTAGACTAACTTTTGAATATATTATAAATATAAATGACTTAAAATTATATAACTTATGTTCTAAAATTATGCAATGAAAGGTATAATCATATTGATTTGCACCATATTTTCAATAAAGTCACATGCTCATCTAATACAATCTTCATATACTTTTTTTTCTTTCAATATCCACCACTATTGGTCTTTTTTAATATCACTCCATCTATACTTCTATCTACCATTCTATTGCAAACAAACCAATGTATATTGTGAATAAATTTAAAAATAAGGTGACAATTACATTGATCACCTTATTTCCAACTATCATAGAGAAATTAGTTCTCTTATATCAATGCTTGTTGATGTGATTAGGCACTTCTTTACTTCCTTGCTTATTAAAGTTGATGCTTTATATGCTTGTTACTCTATCCTATTACTTGTCTTGTAAAAATTAACATACTTTTCATACAAAAAGAAGGTAGACATGAATTTTTTCTATGAATCACATTTTTCAACTTTTCTTATGAAACTTGACATGTTTTAAAGAATCTTTTTATAAATCCTTCTTCATTATTAAGAAGAGCTTCTAATATACTTTTATTATTCTGAAATAAAAATAAAAAAAATTAAGATTATTACAAAGTTTAAGTCTATCTATAACTTTCTTTGTATGAATAGTGATTTCTAATCTAATACCTAAAAGACAATCTCTACACATATCTTTTGATATTCCTTCCAACTTTGCTAACATATCTTGCATTTGATACATTCTTATGTAACTAGGTTTAGGATTTAGGATTTAGGATTTTAGAATTTAAGATTTAGATTTAGAATCTTAGGATTTAGGATTTAGGATTTTAGAATTTAAGATTTAGACTTAGAGTCTTAGGATTTAAAATTTAGGATTTTAGAATTTAGGATCTATGTATTTTTATTATATTTTTTATCTATATTTATTTTAATAATAAAATAAAAATAAAAATAAAATCAATATGTATTATAATAAAATATGTTTAATTTTTTTTATTATGAACATGACTAGGCAATAGTATCTTTATTATACCTTATACAAGAAGGTAATTAAAAACAAGTTTCTAATAGAAAACTTAGATATTTTTTTTATTTTTTTATTATTCATTAAAAAATACATATCTAAATATTTTAAATTCTAAATCTAAAATAGAAACTATAATTTCTAATAATTACAAGTCTAATTTTTAGATTAGAATATAGAATTTTTCTAATCCTAATTAAATTCAAAAAAAAGAGTTGATAGTCAAAGATAGATAAAATTAATAGATATTTTTTTAAAATATATATGATGTAGCTAAAAATATTATTTATAAAAAAATTAAAATACTATACTTAGAAAAAAATATATTAGTTTATACAAATTCTTGATAATAACAAAGTTATTCGGCAAAATTTAGCTTTGATTTCTTTTTAAAAGTGTGTTATTAGTTATATTTTTATTTGTACAATGTTTGTGGTCCTATTTTATTTGAAGATCTAATTTTTATTTGATTTTATGGTTTATTCTATTTAGAAAAATAGCTCAAATCTATGCATATTAGCAAGTGATCTAAAATGGTTTGGTATTCTACAAGATATTAATTAAAAAAAATACTAAGCACATTCTTTTAAAATTATTTGAAGTTTTTCTATTATTATTTTCTTCTACATACTTAAAATCATATGTTTATTGTACTTCAATTTTGTGAAAGTGTGATTTTTAAAAAAAAATAAAGTATATTATATAAATAAAAATTAAAAAATCCCAATGTCTATCAAGTAGGATATGACCACAAACAATACATTAAGCCAGCTTGTTTTTTATTATATTCTACAGTTTTGGTGTCTAAACCTTGTTGTTTTAGTTTGTAATTCATATAAATAATAATTCACAATGTAAATAGAAATATACTATAATAGATATATATTATTAGATTTACTTTTTATAGCTTCACATATTTATTCTGTGTTTGATTGATCATAATAATACTAACTTACAAATTAAACAAAATCAATAATAGTACAATTACACAAAAGATGATAAATGTCATCCATCATTTCTTATGACATGATGATCTATAAAAAAAATTAAAAAATCAAACAATTTCATTATCAAAATATACAAAAAGGAACACAATGAACATTAAATTATCCAACACAAACTTCTTCAACACCACCTTGAAAGACAACATTGCACTGAGGCCACAAGCAACTATATAAGCAACTTCACAACAACAACAACAATCTCACCCACATAACAACAAGCAACCCTAAAAGCAAGCAACTTCACAACAACAACCCCACCTGCAAGCAAACCCAAGGACCATTAGAGACAAAAAAAACAAAACAAAACGAAACGAAAGACCATTAGAAACTAGGATCAGTGAGGCACCTTTCCTCCAAAGTTGCCATGAGACAACTGCTCATAGAGCAACGCAGCTTCCGGAAATTTAACAAAGACCACCAAATCCAGTGAAGCCAAGAAACAGCGAACAGAAGGATCCGTGCAAAAGAAAGACAAAAACCAAACAGCACATTCAGCAACAAATAGGAGGAATAATGCCGCAACAACTGCACGTTACAACGGATGTACTTTCATAAAGAAAGCAAGACTAGAAACTAGACGTTGTTTGTCACAAAAATCCACAAAAACAATGTGTCACAGTGTTCAGCAAAGATATCATTTGTATATTCAAGACATAGGGCACCAAAAACTAAAACAGCAACACTGCAAACTGAGTTGTAGGATTAGGGCAATATAAAACAGGAAAGCTCCACAGACTGACTATGTCTAGACTGAATCAGTGTTAACCAGTTGTTGTTTTTGCTGCAGAATTTGGTTGTCCGGTGTTGTTGAGTTTTTACAAGATCGACACGGTCTGCAACTTATCTGACCGACCCACAAATGCTGTTTCAACTCTACGATGTCTGAATCAGTTTTGTGCGATCTTGCAGTGTGGTGAGAATTCACAGAAATGGTTGTGGTTCATATTGCGCGGTGCTATTGTATATGACGGATGTTTTCACCGCGATGAGTGAACGAAGAGTGAGGGATGGTGCCGGACATTGCTTCCACCGGAGAAGCGTGAGCACGGCACATTGGGTGAAGAATTAGGCACTGTGAGAAAGATTTGAAGGACAAGTTGTTTGGCCTAACCACTTGCGGAAATGTTGATCACACGATTGCTACAGTTGTTCACTGTTTCGATAAGATCCACTTGAACTGTGATAATGCAAGCCACCAACTCCTTTGTCGCATTTGTGTTTTTGACTGCTACTGGAGGTAGATGGTAGACCTAGGTTTAACTCCAGGCTTCATTAATGTCCAGCTAAGTCTTCCTCCATATCATTTCAGGAGGGAGGAGCAGTGAAAGCGATTGAGGGAGTGCTGAAATTAACGGCGTCAGAGACTGATAGCCCCTGTCCGAGAAACAATCTACCGTCATGTATGCCTGCATTGTTACGCGTAGGTGCAGGTGTATCATTCGTCAACCTCCATCTGCCCATAACTGTAACCATCTGGGACTTCTTTCAAGAGAGTGACGACAACCTTTGTATATTTCCGACGCGGGAAGATTAATTCAGCGCTAGCGACAATGACAACTGAGGGCGCCAGAAGACTGAGACGCTCGGTTTTTTTTCACAACAATCATTCATCAGGCTGACTGTTAAGACGGCTGCAAAATTGAAAGTTTCTTGTGACGGGCAGGACGGGAGGGCGGTGTGTGAAAACTTGTTACCATTCTCATAGATAATCGCAGTATGGGTTGGTGTATCAGTAAATGGATGGACACAGTGTCCATCATAAATCGTATACAACATTGTCTGTTTCCCCACACATTTCAGTACAAGTCGGTACCGAATTTAACATTCACACTTGGATTGATACTTGTACGCTCATCCTAGAGCGTTTTCCCAATCTAAATTGGAAAAGCAGGGACGAAGATTATTGTCAAAAATAAATTGGTGGATGAGCACAACTTGATCATACCCTCCAGAAAGAAGCAAATAGTTGAATGCACTATTGAGGATCTCTTAATCTTTATCTATAATGAAAACTCTATGACTAGGACCTAGCTTGTATGTAATTTGGCGGAGACATTCACATGGCCAGCAATGTGGCCAAGTTCATAGGGCTAATGGCGTCGGTGCCGCCATGGAGGAACTTTTCGTTGCAGATCCTGTTGACCTTCTCGGTGGGGTGGAAAGCATCCCAGAACACAGACTTCGACCTGTCCGCGCAGAGATTGCCGATGGTGCGGCACGCCCCGTCAATCCCATTGTATTTCCCCACTCCACAGCAGGCTGTGGTCACTGGGTCTGTGAATCCAAACTTCAACGGGTCTGCGACGATGCCCCTCACAATGTCGAAAGCGTTGGCGTAGAGGAAAATGGACCCCGGAAGCTCGGCTTGCAGGCTCTCCAGCATGGGTTTCAAGGCGGCATTGAAACCTAGGGCGTAGTTGTTCACCTCCGTGACGCACTCTCCCGCCTGGCTCTTCGAAGAGAGAACGGAAGGCGCGCAGCCGATGGGACCCATGTTGGAGATGATGAACTTCCTCATTCCTAAGCCGTAAGCAGTCTGTATCCAGCAAAGGATTACGCAATTCAAAAGACTGTACTGCAATCTCCGGGCCTTACATGATTCGCATGATCTCAATTGAAAAAAGGGTTAAAGGAATAGATTATTCACTTTGAGCTGGCCTCTGTAAGTGTTGATAAGTAGATCTTGGTACTGTGGAGGTGTGTATCTCCGTTTGGTGCTGGTGGTGACTGCCATGTAGTTGTTGATGTAGTCGTTCCCTCCTACTGTGAAAGCGTAAACGGCGTTGTTGATAAGCTGCGTGGCTGCTGGTTGTCCAATAAGCCCCTGAATCTGCTCCTTCGTTTTCTGGAAGTAGCCAAACTGCTGCGACATGGTAACACGCCCGATCTACACAGGAATGCGCTTGTGGTGTCAATAATTAATCTATCGTTAGGCTAGGCGTTTGTTCCAACCTATTCACACAATCAGAAACTTAGCATCAACTTTTAACGTCAATGTCATTTATCTTACAAAAATTGAGCCTGTTTCTTCAAGGATGCCGGCACCAGCCGACGCGTAGTTGACACCATTGAGAAGATTAGTTCCAGCCGCTTCAGGAGCGAGCACTGGAAGAGGATATGGAGTCCCCAGGTAATCATCTGCACAGCAAGAACCAGTTCCGGCACGCTTTATTTGTGACGAATTCATGCCAACAGTAGCACTAAGGAAAATTATCTTCAACATGAAATGGTGATGATTTAATCTACAAGAAGAAAGAGGACAATGCAAGTTGTGAATTAAGGTAGCAGCAAACGGGACTTACTGACAAGATCGGGGATGATTTTTCCGTTGCAAAATCTGCCTGTGGCGACTTTGTCCGCCCTGTCAATGCCGTATGGCTTGTGATTAGCGGCGGCCAATGTGAAGATGTAGTTGTTGTTGCCTACGTCCACCAAAGAGTCTCCCAGGATGAAGGTCGCCGGGGGCTTCTTCCCCTGCGCTTCTACACAAGTGCCGCTCAATGCCACCGCCATTACCACTCCAATGAGCAAGACTATCAGCTGGCCTTTCATGCTTGCCTTTCTTTCTCACCTCAGTAGCCGAGGTCACAGATGAATACAACCTCGTAGCAGTACTGTCGAGATCAACCCACAAGTATTGGCATGAACGCTGAGTATGTCAACCAAGAACTCACGTAAAATATTCATTCCATTCAGTGTGAAGCCACTTAACTAAGTCGTGAAGACTCCATGTGGTAGAGATCAAATTTTCAGTGTGACTAAGGTAGATAGCTCCAACAAACAAACACTAGAAAACTCCTACGATACCGCAACGCAAGTTGAGCTCAAGACGGAATAGAAGACACTGGTCACAGTAGCTGATAATAAACCACAAAAGGCAGCGATATGGTCACAGTCGAGCAACGGAACTGTTCAAACCCTGCACACAAGCTGGTGCCTGGGTCTATCGAACCTTCAACCAACAAACTACATACCACTCTCAGTCAGGTGAAGGCTGCCAACGAGCTGGAGGACTGAGCCGGCAAGTATGACGCAACTCAAGTCTACTGAGAGCTCGACATGTCCAGAACATCAGACATTCCACTCACACACAGCAGGACATTCAGCAGAAGAAACAGAAACCGAAACCATCGTCAAAACCGCTCAGCTACAATTGGTTCAGCTCACAGTCAACGAGTACAGGACACACGAGACGAAGGCCTCTATTCCATGACCAACCTCGAGTGTCACTCGCCAGCAACTCACACCTGCAGTACACACACATGAGCTACCAATCATTGAAAAAACTGGGACCCAGGGAGGGAAAAACTCACTCACCCACAGTGAGACGCGAAGAGTCCACTCTCCCACGTCGAAGAATAAAAAAAACACGGTGATAACGAGCGGCACTCTTCCTCCCACCTTGCAGCCAGCTGAATGTGGACTGAAGCAGCAATCTGCAGACCACGCAGATGCCGCTGCTGCTGCTGCAATGAGAGCCTGATCGAGGAGGAGAGTGATGAAGAAGAGGGGGAGACGAGGGCGGGAGGAGAGGGGAGGGGGTTGATAGGGCAGCTGGGCTTCATTAATGTTTCTGATGGCAGAGGAACGCACTACTCCAATTCTTCCCACAGTCCTTCGCGACACCATTCATAACCTCTCTCTCGTACCCACTTTTGTATCCATTACTGCGTCCTCCAAACTTCCGCATTTTGCACCATTCACATTCACAGCTTCTTCCCCCACCGTCTCTGACATCTTTATCTCTGCCTCCTCCTCCTCTTCCTCCTCTTCCTCCCTCCTCATCTCCCACCTGCTCTTTAAGTGGCGGACAGACACGCTGTGCTCCCTGCACCCTCAAACTCCGAGCGTTTAACAGTAAGCACGGTTTCTCCGATGCACTATTCATTGCGAAAACATACAGATTACTAGCATTTAACTATTACTATTGACTTCCCACGGCGTGCGGCGTTTCCCACAACCAGCGTTTACTTTGCAATGCCAGCGAGTGAGCTCCGTTTCTCGATGTCACGGCTCGGCTGGGCTTGTCAGCGGCGTGCTGATGTGGCACAAGCGTGACGTGGCTTAGCGTGGCGTGTGCGCAGCGTCACGTCAGCTCTAGTTCGATGGCCCCGTTCACACCGCACAGCCTAGGGTATCTTCCCCCCAGTTTGAATGTGGCTCGCGTTCACACGGCGACGGAGCTTATGGTGATTTTGGTGCCGTTTCTATTAAATCCCCATTCACACTGGAAGCCCCCTCCCTTTCCCTCCCCCTTCCCAATCAATCTGCTTTGAATAGGCAGAGTTATGTTTCGTGAGGCAACTATGGCTACATAATTCTACAACTTACAGGTGAAGGACGAGCCCTCAAGGACAAATTATTGATGGCTTAGGGACACTTACAAGTTATGGTCCCTTTCATATGCCCACAAGGCATGGAGCATTTGCTTCATTGGTTTTTTGTTTTATTAAAAATAAAAAAAATTGGGTGGGGATAGTGAGGTGAGTGCTAAATATCAAAATAGGGTTTTATTGTCTTGTGAAGGTTTTATTTACCTCTGCATATGGGCCAGTGTTGTTGTACTGAAAGCAACTACAATGGAGACTTTGATGTTATTGACCAACTTAGGGTTTGGGATGATGTTTTTTTTGGAGTATTGAGTCAACACATAGCAAAATTAAAACAGAATTTATTAGATGGTGATTAAAAAATGATGTGCTGCTCAAAATGTACCATTGACATTATACTAGAGTTTGAGTGTGTTAAAATGGTTGGGTATTGTTAATTAGGTTATAAAAAAGTACACCCCAATTATTTTAAGTTCTACAAATAAATGCATGTTTTGTCATTGAAAGAAATTGCTTTGTAAATATAAGGCACAACCAATTGTTTCACTTTTAACTATAGAGATGAATTATTGTGCTGATAAAACAATGTTGCTTGCATGAAGTACTGGCAGATATGAGATGTCTTCAAGGTGGAGAAATGCGGATAATAAATTAATTAAAAATTCATATTGCTTGCAAAAAAAATCATGTATATAATTTGACAAAAAAATACATTCACATCTAATATCACTTTAATTTCGAGTAATTGAAGGAAGGAATAAGATGTTTAAAGTATTTTGCAATAGAATACATAATTTTGGATGTATTACCAAGTTATTTACACAAAATTGACATAAGAGATGTCTTAACAAGTATGGATAAAAGAATATTAACAAGTTTTTAAGGGAAGAGTGCTGTTCATTCCAAAAGTATATTAAAAGACAGTAGTTGAAAGGAAAGCGAGTGCTTTATCATATAATTTGTAAACATGTAGAAACAATGTTGAATGTGTAGAGGGGATTATAAAGAACCAAAACCATCTTTAAAATAGAGATATTTCTCAATAAATAAATATTTTTTTGTGCAATATCAAATGATATGTGTATGCATGTGTGAATATACTCACTCCAATAATTTATTTAGAATTTTACTTGTACTTCTTTCAAAATGATAAAATTATTAATAAAATTACTTGTATTAGTTTCTAAAATAATACCAACTACACTTGCAAATCAATATTAAAGAAAAGATTTTTTTTTAATTTTATTGGTTTAATATCAGTAAAACTATTATTGAAAAAAATTACTTTGACATTTATTGTTAGAATTACGTCTTTATAACTTTAACTTTTGTAACCTTTATTAGTAAAATTATTTCAAGATAGAATGAGAAAGTACAAATTCAAAATCCTTTAAGAAAATATAAAGTGTTGATTCCATAAGAGAACAAGGGTAATAATAATAACAATAATAATAATAAAAGGTGTGCTAAATTATCTCTCATAGTTATATTTGTTACTTACATTTTTTTTAATGGTTCTAATCTTATTTACATTATTTTGCTCGTTTTGAAGAAGTAAATTATTTTGCTTAAATTTATTTTTTTGTACTTGACATCACCTCATTATAACTTTTTTTTGTTGTTGTGAGTCTTCAAGAAAAACAGGTTTTTTTTACTTCACACACTAATATTTTGATACTATCCAAAATATATGTAAAAATCCTGCTGAATTCAAATTAAAATGTGATTATTATTAATTAAAAAGACAATATCCAAGATGAGCGATTTATTTCATGAGGTTGAAGATTCGAATCATGAGAATAGAAAATCATAATGAGAACAAGTAAAATATATTTATTTATTATATTCTTAAAACATAAAATTATTTTTTTCTAATTATAAACAATGATTAATAGTGATTTTTTATACATCTTTTGATTTATCTAAATAATCAAGGTATATTTAACTTATGCTCTCACTTATTTCAGCATATTGGGTTTTATTCAGAGTGATATATATATATATATATATATAATTATAACTATAATTATTGTATACAGTATTTTTTTTTTTCTTCATCACTTTTTCCTTGTGTGTGTCAAAAATATTTCTTTGGATTTGACTTTACTTCAAAATGCAACTTAGAGATGTTGATGAATGCTTTTGTATCGACTGCATAATAGACTTGATTTCAATTTTATAATTTTATAATTTATATAAATCAAATAGTATTCAAACACAATTTTTAAATGATTAATTCCTTATTAAAAATTAAAACAAGAAAATAAATTTAAATGTCTATTTATATGTGTGCATATATATATATATATATATATATATAATACCAGTTAAGTATAATAGAAAGTTGCATAATAGAATATGAAACAACTGGCATTAATTTTGAAAAATACATTAGCATCTTAAAATAATTAGATATTTTAAGGATACCAAATTATTTATACTTAAATTTGTTCTCAATAAACTTCTTAATTAACAAATTTTAATACTAATATATCAATTTATGAATATCATCTTGGATGTTATTGATTCATCATTGAACAAAATAAAACAAAAAAAATCTAATATTTATCTTTCAGTTATATATCAAAATAAAGATTAAATAGGTAAATAAAAGCAAAGATGTAAATTTGTAAAGGAACCTTTACTGAAAGCATTTTTTAACAGCAATATTCAGATCTTACATTTTGATTGAATTTTACTGAATAGTTGAGGAAAAATTAAAATCTCCATTATAACATTGATTCATTGTAATTTGCATTGTAGGAATTTGTATCATAAAACATGCATTAAATGTATGTGATAGGCTAATTCAATTCAGTACAAATCCAACCTAGACTTGAAAATCAAGCATACTATCTGTACATCTTCATTAATTCTTAAAACACCATGTCAAGCTTTTGCAAGTCTCTCAAATTCAGTCTAATGACTTGATTGAGCCATCAATTCCAAAACTCACAATGAGAGCAAAAGAGCCAAAGAGTTCAGTTTTATGTCTTATTTTTTAGAGTGTACCTCATAAAATAGGTATATTTCTTGTTATTTCGACAAGCACACAACCCACAATCTGTTGCTCTGTTCACCAAATAACTAACATCACAATAATTAACTGAATTTTAACTTTGATGAGGACATAATAAATAAGGGTGTACCACATCATGGAATTCGTGAGCATAGCTGATAAGGATCACGAGCTTCCTTAACCATGAGCAGTAACCATGGGGTTAAAATAATGGGATCTCAGAGGTCACACTTGGCATGGCAGAAACCATCGGACGATGAAATATAAATGAGGTTTTTTGCTATTGTCACACAAAGCATCTGGTATCTAGCAGGGTACTACTACCTCAACGGACACAAGCACCGGAACAGGAATCAGGCAACACAATCACAAAATATGTGTGTATATATGTGTAGATATATACTAACAGTCCGATTTGCCGTTTCACATGTATGTTGCTCTAGACCACTGAAAGACAACCCGTCCATCTTAGTCCAATACTTGAGGAGGAAGATTGTTTTAGGACTCTGGGTTCATTCACAAGAAGCTGCTGTGAGTAGAATCTTAATCCAACAATCTGATTGGACATACGGTATCTACATGTTTATGTACGTGAAATTAGTAAACATTGATAAGCATGTGTAAGGACGCAGACAGATGATTTACGATGGTGATGAAGCTCTCACTTCACCAGGCCAAGGCTGAGGACGCCGAAGGCGCTCCGAGGCCAGGACTTCTCATGAGCATTCTCTCGCAGCACTCGGCCCCATGCCAGCCATCCTTCCCATGTCATGCGTTTGTCCCAGTTCGTGGCCCAATCCAACAGGAGACGCACGCCCTCGTCCGCTTCGGTCTCTGCAAGCTCGTACTGTCCCTCTCCGAGAAGGATTTGTGCCAAAAGAAGGTGGGGCTCGGCAACAAAAGGGTTGAGCTTGCAGCAGCTTTGCAGCAGCGGAACGGCTGTGTTCACAAGACGGTCCCGCCCTTCGATATTGACGGCTTCCCAGTACTGTTCAAGAGATCGGTTCTGATTCACAGGAGGCAGGATTTCGGTGCACATGTTGAAGATTGGTGGGAGGGAGATCTCCAGGGTACCAAACGGCCGCTCCGGCAAGCCGTTGGGGACAGAGTGCAATTCGGCCTGTTCGGCGGCGTCCTCCAAGAGGAGTATGTTAAGCAGCACGCCCATGCGTGAGGCGATGGAGATCCAGAGGCCGGGCTTGCAATTTCCTGGCCAGAGAGCATGCCAGTCGTTTCCAGAGTACCGGAATTCACCATCATCGTTTCTAAACAGCTGGTCCTGCATGTTGGGGATCGCAAACGAGTCACACATTAAGTCCTATGTCAAATTCCTCTTCCTAATTGCCTCTGTAACGCACACACCTGAAGAAGAAATTGGCTGAGCCCTAACAGACATGCCAATCAAACAAACGACACCTTCCAAAAGATAGAGAGCCATGGCTTTTTCCCAGCCGTGAGCGTACCTGCCAGCCATAGAACTGGTCGACGAAGTCAGCCATGGTGAGAAGCACAAAAAGAGCAACGAGACGGCGAGGAAGAAATATATCCTCCCCGGTGCGAATGTGTTTCACCACCATCCCCTCCTTTGGGACAAACAATCTCCTCTTGTCATGCCCCCCTTTCGCGTTCGCCTCAGACTCACCCACTTTGGTGCCCTGGTACTGCTTTAAACTGGCGATGAGGTCGTCATCGGTGATGGTATGGAGGAGGCGATCAAAGATAAGCTCCTGGCGAGGGATGACGCAAAAAATGTGCACTAGCTCCTCGGCCTCGTCACCAATGAGGCCACGCAGAACGCTGCGATCGACGTCGGGTGCGAAGATGGCAAGGTTCACGTACGAGTTTGAGTAAGAGGAGTGGAAAAGTCCAAAGAGGGCAACCGTATCGGACGACCCCCAGAGCTTCAGAATCCGATAAGTGTGCAGCAAATGCTCGTAGAATGTCCCGTGCTTGTGCCAGCACTCCCCAGCACCTCGGGCGTGCAGAATTTTCAGAAGCCCTGGCAGGCGCGAATCAATCGACTCGTAATCCTCTCGCAAAAATGGCCGGCACTGAGCAATCTTCGCCGCCAGGGGATCGAATTCTTTCTGCTCACCCATTGTGCCCACACGATCGCTCTCCAATCCTTCACCAAAAACAATAGTCCAATTCTCCAAGCAACGATGCTCAATGACCCACCACTGTGTCACCCGCTTCAACCTTCACATCCTACACACGAAACTCTCCATTCAGATGTGAACAAAACCCAGCCACAAACCCTTACACCCGTCCAAAATTCGCACTGCTTTAGCTAACTTCCAGTTTCAAGACGCATACTGATCCATCTAATATCAATCAGGAAGTCGCTCTTGGCATGTGAGGGGAAATACAATCTAACGACACGAACCCAAATGTTTAAGAATCGAATCAGAGCTTCTGAAAATGCATCACACAACAATCTATTGACGAAACCACAACCCTCCACGATTCTCAGCCACAACTGTAGACACACACAAGTCACACACATCCCAATTTCCAGCGAGTTTAAGCGCAACGCCGGCACGAATTCAGCACTCATCGATCACAACGCCGCTCGAGAGAAAAGCGGACACAGAAACTCACCGACCACAAGCACAGGCAAGAATGAAGGACACCAAAGCTCAGAGGAAGAAGCCGGAACGTAGACAGATCAGCTACAATGCACCCAGCATGCAAACAAAATTGCATCGCCTCATTCATCCCGTGAACTTCTGTGAGGGGGATCCAAGTGCGAGCACCGTCGCCCACGTCCACCATGGGACGTCGTCGCTTCTTCCCCTAAAAAAGCATCCAGAGCATCTGCCCTCCTTTTTAACTTACATGTGACCCAGTTGTCGAAGCATCACCACCACCACCATGACGACGACGACGAAAATGACAATGCTGCAACACCCTCCTCCTCCTCCTCCTCCTCCTCCTCTTTCCTTCCCCTAACAAAATCCTCTCAAAGCTGCAACACGAGCTCGCAATTTGAGGCATGAATGGTGAGATTTGGGAACTAACAACATCAACTAATTCAATTCCAATTCCCCGAATGTCTGTCCTACACTCTTTCCCACGTCAAAAGTAGAGTTGTGGTGTCGTTTCCATTCACGCAACTCCTCCTCCTCAACATCATCATCGACTGTGCGTGTGTGTGAGTGTGAGAGTGTGTTTGTCCATTTGTGCTGCATACAAATCAAAATGGTGTGTATGTGTGATTTTACATTACAACACTATTTCTACTATTTCTCTAAAGATGTGTTATACGTAACTTTTTCTTTTTTCTTTTTTCTTTGTAACACTCTCTATTGGTGAAAATGTTGTATTGTTTTTTTTGGCTCATTCTAATAATTTGATATAGATGAATTTGTATACCAACTATTAATAATTGAATTTCTAAATTAAGTTAAACTTCTTATTAATTTAATATAATTTATTAATAGTTTAATAATTATTATTAAGTTTTTTTTTCTGGATACCATTTGAATTGACATGGGTAATGAGCATGATAGAAATTTGATACAAAGCAAGAGTACCAATTATAGGTATAAATATATTTATAAATATTATAAGTACTTTAAAATATTTAAGTATATTGAATAAAAAATAATATTTATAAAAAAATAAAAAGAACCAATCATTACAAAACTTGTTGTCTTAATATTATATTTAAAATAAAAATTTATAAACTATATATACATATATACAATTTATTTTTAATAAAGTAATTTTATATTTCCTAAAGTTAAAAACTTATGGTTTTTTGTCATGTCAAGTTTTAATGTTACATTTTATTATATTTTAAAGTACAACACTTTATTCTTTTATTGATTTTATAACTAAAATTACAAATCAAAATATTTAACTAAATCTTATTTATAATACCAAAGTATTCAAATAAAATAATGTCAATTTAAAATTTTGTATTGTTAAATCATAATATTAAATTCAAACTTTAAATATTGCTAAAGTGTGCTTGTTTGTTTGTTTGTTTGTTTGTTTTTCTTTTTTCTTTTTCAAAGCAGAACTAAATAAATAAATTTAATATAGTTGCTATATTTATATATGTATATATATATATATATATATAATTTAATATTGCATATTAATATACATTGCTAAAAGATATAAAGGAAGTTGATCATTTATATTAGAAAGAAAGAAGAAATATATATATATATATATATGTAAAGAAGAAACTCCAAATTAATTATTTTCCAGATTATTTAATGAAAAAATAATTAAACTTAATTTTAAAAAATCTTGTATATCTTAAAACAATTACTAGCAGATTTTAATGATCAGAAGATGAAGATAAGAGGCTATAACTTTTAAAGCTATGGATGATTAAAAATAAGAAGTCAATTTTGATAGAGCCTTAACTGAAGAAAATCATCAAAAATACCTTAAGAAGAAAAAAAAGGTCCAATGCACTTTTTTTGTCCATAATATAAAAAATGTCATCTCTTGACATTTGTATCAAGTCTTTATGAAGATGTAGTTTTATAAAAATTGAAAAAGTGAAGTAAAAAATTACTAAAAAATGCCTATAATATAATTTAAAATTATTCTTATATTTTTGTAAAGAAATTCATAATCATAACGTCTACTCTTATATTTAGAATAAAAATAGGAAGATGGTTTGGTATATTCTATGACCTTTGATCACTTTATAATATCTCTACAAATTATGACTTCTAAATGAAAATTTTCTTTCACAAAGCACAAAATCTTAATAAGACGTTTGGTCCAATAACTTTCAAAGTAAGCCTCTAGGTGTAAAGAATCCCATAAATTGGTCTTACCAAAGTCTATATTATAAATCATTCTTCTTCCATATATGTTGTGAGGTGCCAAAAGATTGTAACTTAAAAGAAAATCTAATAATCAACCATTGGACCATATTAATTCATTTCAATTTTAAACATCTATTTTTTGTATTTTAAATTTTTTTTCAGAGTATTTTTATTTTTTTAGTTAAAATTTGTTTTACATTATATAAATTAAATTTATATTTAAGTTCCATATCCCTATTTATTTTATTATTAATATAATTACTATTATACCTTTCAATGACATGTTTTGACAATTAAAAAGTAGTAATATGTATTGAGAAACAATAACAATTTTATTTCCATAATTTTTTTAAGAATAAATCAAAACATGAATTTGAATTTAGCGAGAGCGTGACAAAATAGCATCCGCATTCAAAGGCCTTAAATAGTTGATGTGAGGCTTGTCAACAACTCACAAGAACCGTCACGTGTAAAGGCGGAAACCGCCACGTGTCCGTGCACCACCCTCACCACCACCACAAGCTTCCACCCCCCTGCTCGGAAGCTTGTCCTCGAGTCGGTGCGCTTTTAGGGTTATCGAGCGAGATCGAGGGTATGCAATTTGTATGGTGAGCTTTGAATCGATCAATCCCGCACTCACTCACTCACTCCTTCGAGGTGGTCTCGATCGGGCGGACGAGGCTTGGAGAGGTGTGTTGAGCGTCGGAACTCAATGGAGGTCCGATTGCATGATGAAGCGTTCGCTCTATGACTAGGGTTTGCTTGAATTTGGCAGAGTAGGCAAACTTCGACGTGCAGACCGATCCGGGAATCACATGTGTTGCATCGGACCTAGCAGCAGTTGCAGTAGAGGATGATTGATCACTGCCGAACGCCTTCACTCATTTTTGTGGTCTAGGGTTCCCATTTTTGTTGTACGAGGTGCGGGATTTCTGTGTGTTTCAGGGGATTCTAGTGACGGGTGAGTGGTTTGGGTAGAGAGTGCGTCTCTGCGAAGATGAATCCGGATACGGAACGGAGACTGGCTGCTCTGATCATGGAGGAAGCCAAAATGATGCGACAGCGAGCTGAGACGGACGGCGTTAGCGCGTATCTCGCTAAGCCCGTCGTCAAGGCGCGGCCTAACAGACAGTTTTTGAGTGCCATGGTTCGAAGTGTCCAGCACGGTTCGTGCGTCTTACTTTTCTTTCTGGGTTCTTGTAGCATCCCGAAGTTTTTTTTTTTTTTTTTTTTTTTTTTTTTTTTTTTTTTTTCTTCTTCTTCTTCTTAATTAAAAGCGTCACTAGATTTACTTTCGTAGGAGTTTTCCAGCTTAGAATATGGGTGAATTCAGCATGCTAACGTTCTTGGGTAATTGTTTAGGACCAATTATTTTTAAGATACATTTTTGTGCTTCAAACATGCCCAAAGTGTTGAGCCTTCTGGTTCGAGGGCACAGCGCATACAGAGGAAGTGCGTGGATTTTTAGGGGTTAACCAAACTCTCACGCAAACGACTCCATGTCTCACTACCTAACGGGAATGGGTCATGGTTGCAGCTAATCGCATAGTAGATATGGAAGAGATGTGGCGGCAGAGAGATCTCGAAAACAATGCAAGGAGGGACAAGTCTTCTCGTGAAACTAGGGACGAGCGATTTGAAGTGAGGTCGGCAGACAGAGATTATCATGCAGAGCGAATGAACTTAAACGAAGAAGGTTCTGATACCTCTTCCTCTGACCAGGACGACGGCTTGAAGGACGAAGACATTGAGAAGTTCTTACATTCAAGGTATGGGTTCTCCAGCTTATCTCTCTCCCTTTCTGTTACTATTTCTTTTTTTTGTTTTTTTTTTTGTTTTCTGTACATGTCCATAGCATGTCCTCTGTTTCTATGAGTGGATGATCTCGCGTATCGAAAGTTTTTTACAATTGAGTAATGCATGTTCTTGAATTTCTGAATGATGGACTCTCATTTGCAATTGATGACAGAGTGAAACGAGGGCGTGGAGCTGTGGGTTCCCGGATGGACGAGCCCGGGCCATACTGTGCTCGTTCAGCAGGCCCAGCTTCTGATACTCGTCAACAGGAGGAATGGGAGGAACGTGTAGCGTCGCGTCCTGTAGCTGGTCCTTCCATATTGCCGGAAAGGCTTCCTGCTGCGGATGCAGATGGACACTCCAGGCGAGACAGCAAGAAGCACAAGAATGGGAAATCGAAAAGGGTACACAGTTCTAATAGCGATGATGGCGAGGTGAGGGATAGGAAACGTCATCGGGAGTCAAAAGATAGGAAAAGAAAAGAGAGGCGCAAGTCCAAGGATTCGGACAAGCACTCGAAGAAGGAGAAAAGGAGAAGATAGTGCTGCTTCTTGATTGGGTACTGTTGGAGACTTCTTGAAACTGAGCCTCCAGCTCTACCTGCAGAGGACTACCGCTTAGTCTGAAGGTTGATGTCGGTGTTCTTTGTGGTATTGCCTTTTTCTCCCCACTGTATATATGTAGGTACAGCCAGCGTAGTGTTCGACCCGGATCATTGAAGGGTAGGAATTAATCTAAATCACTTAGTGAGGCGACTGCTGCTGGTAATGAAACATTAGTCACCTTTGTGTGATAATATTGGCTTATCAGAAACGTCTGGAATTCAACTTTCATTCTGTTGTCTTCGCTTGCACGTGGATATTGTATTAGTATATCACGCTCAGGATCTGTAAAAATACCATTGGATCGAGTACAACAAATGTTATCGTTCGTTGCATGAGCATCGGTGCTTGAGACTTGTCATTGCAGCGACAACTTGCGCAGGACATCTATATTGAGAAGTTTCACTTACAGCAACTGCTTGGTTTACAATGCATGAGCTTTTAGTTGTTACTTTTTAATTAATTTACTGAAGAACTCGATTTGAGAACATGTAGACTCTGTTTATCCATTTTTGGTTTAATCCCTCTGAATATACGCGAAATTTTCAGTTTTTATTACTCTTTAGATGACCAAAAATACATGGCTTTTAAACATACTCTTCAAACATATACACATACCAAAATGTAAACAAAGTTCAAAAGTTCAATTCTTAGAAACATATATTGAAATGTAAGCATGTTTGTTGGTCTAACGGAATGCACAGTTACAATTTTAAAAAACTCATTGAGATTTTATGTTTTACGTAAAAATATTCTTACTCTTCTTATTTACGATAGTAAAATTTACATAAAATGTATGTTCTTGCAAGCACCTTGTGACTCCTACACATCCCTCTGACACATCCACAACTCCTTTGGATGACCTTCAATAGTAGAGATTCTTTTTGGGAGCTCTCTCAAGTAACTATGAGCATAAATTTTGTGGTGGAAAGGATTCAATCTATAATAGTAGACATTACAGCACAAAAAAACACTTCTTAGAAACAAGGTAAACCAAAAAGATCACATTTTAAAAATTTTAATCATTAAATAATGTACCATTCTAAAAAGAAATAAGAAGAGGAAAATTGTCATTTTTATTTTTTAAAATTACAAGAAGAAGACATTGATTGGACTAAAGTGAGCCTCTCTTTATTTGTAAAAATATGTTTGTAATTAATGGTTGCACCTTTCGAGGACATGGATGTACTCTAGATACACTATATTTGCATCAGTCCAGATTAATCCTTATGTTTTTAAATATTCTCTACTACCCAATATTTTCCTCGTTACCACCTCTTAATGTGGCCTACACACTCTTACAAAACTTATCACAATATTTTTTAGCCATGCCCTAATGACGTTGAAAGTCGTGTCTGCTTCTTTGATATTATCAAGATCAAAATGAAGGAAAAAACCATTATTTACAGTATCTTTTGCAATATTCATATGTGTTTGTATTATTTTTTATATTTTCTAATCACTTCTAGAACACTAAAATCAATCATAAAATTTTCCTTTTCCTCAGTTAATTTATAACTTTTTTTAAGTCACATACACACACATATATATATATATATATATATATTTATACTTAAAATTCAGCAAGTGATATATCACTAATTTTTGTTAGTATTCAACAATATGTTATTCATTAAAGAATTAATTCAACTCACTGTTTAAAGGAATATTGTTTTAGTTAGTTATTTATTTCTGTATATTTGTAATACATCAAATTTACAGTTGTGAACATTCTGACTTCAAAAAATTTGTTCTAAGAGGTTGGTTTTCCAAGCACTTTTGAATCTCAGACAATTGTGATTTGAAATAGAACTCCTGAAGCAAAACTTCAATTAAATAGAAATTGTTGGGTACTTTTGATGTAACTCTTGGTCTACTGACTCCACCAAATCTGTAAAAATACATATTGATGAAAAATCATATATTGCATTTCTTACTTTTAAAATAAATTCATTGGAAATGCAATAAATAATTTTGAAGTACCTTGAAGTAATACTTTCTTTCTATCGGTGTTCTTTCACAACATCCACAGAGCATCTGGAAGTCTATTTTAATTTGTATGTGGCCAGTATTTGCAACGATACTCTATAGAACCTGACTAGTCTATTTATATAACTGCAATTTGTTATTAGTTATATTCTTATTTACAATACTCCATAATAGATGGTAAACAAAGTCCACATACCAAGTCACAAATTTGCTGAAGTTAACAACTTGCGGCTCGAAGACTCTTTTTATGGATTACCTTCAAGTTGGTCAGGATAGACCTTATAAATCAAATTAAGATTTCTCTGAAGAATGTTTTTCGGCAAGAAAGGACTCTATGACCCCACAATAAGACCTTTTAAGTATGTATGGTTTTAATTTGGGCAAATTCCATGTGTCCACAAGGTCTTTTGGAATACCACAAGACCTCAAAAGGCCACAACAAATTAAAAGAAATATAAAAAAATTTATGTATCATATATATACCTACACACATAGAGAGAACGTCTAATTATGATACTTCCTGTAGAATTTTGAAGTGATGTTTTTTTTTTTTTTTTTTTTTTTTTTTTTCTTCTTCTTCTTCTTCTAACCAATTTGGAGATGGTTTGATTTAGTAGCAGAAGACCACCCATTATCTCCATGCATAGTTTCCAACCTTCATTTGACCGTGTTGTACTTGAAATGGCTCTGAATTGAATACATGAGATATCCATGGTTATTCATGTTTTGTTCATGTGCCAATAATTTATTTTTTATTTTTTATTTTTTTTGCTTCAGACTACTTAGAATTTAAATAAATAAATAAAAAATAAAGAAAGAAAAAAGGTCATTTCAAAATAAAAAAATCTGAAATCTTCATAAAATTATCTTGTTTGTTTCAAAGTTTGTGTGTGTGTGTATATATATATATATATATATATATATATAATTTTTGTGAATGCCTTTGTTAAGCATATTAATCTTGCAACTTTTGAATCTTTGAAATTTAGCATGGCAATTTTCTATTGGTTTATAATATAGAATTTCTTTTTGAATTCCCTATTTTTGTAAATGTTTTTTCGAAATAAAATCGATTTTATGATTATTTAATTTTCTGAAATTTTCAAAATAATAAACATACAAGTAAAAAGAACCAACAATGGTATCAAATTGTTTATATTTATCTGAATGTGGAATGAAATAAACCACCTACATTATATTAGATAAATAGACAAAAGAGAAAAGAAAAGAAAAAACCAGATTATCAAGGTCATTTTATTACAATCTATATATATATATATATATATACACTCACACTTTAATACATAAATTAAAAAAAAACTCAATAAAATAACACTCAATATTTATGCAGTAAGGTACAAAAAAAAACAAAAAAACTATTTCTCTTCTTTATTTAAGTATACAGTTTAGTACACATAATCATTTACCAAACAAACATGCAACTAAGAGAAAACATTCAAAACTTTCTAATTGAAAAATAAACTAAGAATGAGAAAAAGAAAGAATGAAACAAACTCATACCTTCTACATATCCTTCAAAGCTGTCAATCCACAAAATAAAGCATTCACTAAATCCTTTCAAAAAGCATCCCCACCTAACAAACACGGAAATTGAATAACCCAACCCCTCGTGATCTCCATCCAAGTAAGGCACATTACCCAATAGATACAACAACAACACACAATATGAAGACTCATGTGTTTTTTTTACTTGTTGTTGTTGTTGTTGTTGTTGTTACTAATGCCAAATATCTTAAACTGTGTCATGCCCCTGAACCAACCAGTAGACCTTGTGAGAAGCTGCCTTTGCACAAACCAAAACCAACCATTCTTCTTATAGAAAGATTCCAAGTCCATTCCAAGTCCACTAATGATGAACAAACTTTACAAGGATGAAGTTGGTAGTTTAGTGTGATGGAGGTGGGTGATTTAATGTGTTTTTATGGACAATTTTGGCCAAGTCTACATGTTGGTTCAGGGTCTAAAAGTGTAAGACCCTATGAAATTAAATATCAATTAAACCACTACGACTTTTGTATATATATAAGTTTTGGAGCACATCAGAACCTTATTTCTCTACCATTTATTTACATTTTTTATTTTCATTTTCCAAAAAAAACTTTAAGTTGTTGGTTTAAGGTATTCCGACGTTATATCATTGTTGTTGTGGTGGTGCTGCTGATGGTGCTTCATTGGGCTGAAAGCAATGCAAAAATGTGGCCATTGGGTGCTCTCAAAAGTGGGTGGCCTTGGAAGGGACACCCTATTCTGGGGAGGGGTTGCGGAGATTCCTCCGCCTCGCTCCACCAGCGCCTAATTCTAGCATGACAACCAAACCATTGGACCACGCATCTTGCAGCAATCCAGCAGCAGCAGCAGCATGCCACACAACAACAACAACAACAACAACTGGGTACTAATTTACTCCTCCCCATCGCCGTCGTTGTCGTAGTGATGCTGCCTCTGCTGCCCTTCACGTCCTTTGTCTCTCGCTTCGTTTGTGAGGAGGAGGTGGAGGAGGAGAAGAAGAAGGACCCTGGATTTAGTCTTTGTGGTGGGGGTTGTTGTCGCCATTCCGTAGCTGGCGCTGAGGTGGGTGAGAATGATGCGTGGCTGATGACACGAATTCTCGCCGTCTTTCAGGTAAATCCCTGCGTTGATGAGCTCTGGTTGACAGTTTAGGGGTTTTGGTTTCGTGACCCCGTCGTGGGGCGGATTTTAGGGTGGGGTGTGATTTGTGGGTTGTCGGTCTTGGTCGTGAGATGTTGTGATCGGCGGGGAGGTTTGGAATCTGCCCCCCCCCTTTTTTTTCCTGAGCTGGGTTGCGTCGTTTGCTTTGTCCTCTCTTTCCTGTCATGATGTGGGTCGCTTCCGTTGGTTTGCCCGGGGATCGTGGGTGGGTTTAGGCCTTCGTGTGAAGCAATGTGTGGTTCTTTTGCAATCCTTCGTCGCTGATGAGGTTGCTAAGCATGTCGCTTAGTTTGATTCTAGAATGTCTGTGACTGGTTGCGGGTTTGTGGACGTTCCGAGCGTACTTGTTGCATTCCTGTTCCCCTCGCGCCCGTTGCTCTTTCTCCCTGTTCTCGAGGTTCTACCTTGAATCGTATCCTTGCCCTTATTAGCGTATGCACATGTGCTGTACAGGGAGGTTTAATTTTTAGGTGGTGGATGTGTTTTGAAAGATAAAATGCGTTTTTAAGTTCCTCTAATTCCGAGGGTTAACGTAAGAAAAGCTTTAAGTGGATGGTTCTTGTAGCCGGTACCATTCTTTCAAATCAGCCGTGATGTGGCTCTCTTTGCAAAGGCTCGAGTGCTTGAGTTTTAAAGTTGGAGGCTCGTCTTGCAGGGAGAGTAGTAGTTTGAGGTCAGAATTTGCAATTGGCCTCGTTAAGTTATCGAGGTTTTCACATCGCGTGAGGGAATCCTGATTTTGTGAGTAGAATTAAGTTGTGTTTTGAAGTATACTGTTGATTTTGTGGGTTATGCTAGACCTACTTTAGCTTTGTAAAATTTCAAATGTGGATTGTTGTAGTGGGATAGATAAGATGGACATACTTTGAAGCTTCGTTATTTGATGATAATTTCTGAAATAGTAATAACAATAATAATAATAATCATAATGAAAACACCATATTATTATTATTATTATTATTATTGTTGTTATTTGAAGGTGTCGAAATCACTTGTGGTATTGACCGTAAACCAATAGCTCATTCTGCCACCAACTGTCCTTATGACGAATTGTCTCGAACTTACATTTGTTGATTGCAGAATATGTGAAAACTTTAACACCTCCTTGAATGTGTCGTACTATCCTCTTGATTGTCAAGTGCGACACTTTTAGACTTCACTGGATTGTTTCGTTTTCACTTTTCACTTTTTTCTTTTTTTCTTTTTTCTAGTGTGTCTCACCTTTTTTTATTTATAGATTGGTTGGTTTTGCTAGAGCAATTGATCTCAAGGCTTGGTTCAAGAGCGTGTGTATCCGATGGATGACGGGGAGCTGGAATTCACAGACCATGATGTGTTCGCGGGCTGTAGCCTCTGCGACTTGCCATCCACCCCAACCACAACTGGCTCTATGGAGAGCTTCCTCGACGAGATACTGAGATCAACACATGCCTGCACTCACACGCACACGTGCAATCCACCCGGGCCGGACAACACCCACACACACACGTGCTACCACACACACACCCATCTCTTTGCAGCGGGGGAGGAGGAAACTTCTGCCGACAAGTCCGAAACTCTGACCAGTGGCCACAACAGCAAGAAGCGACCTCTAGGTAACCGGGAAGCTGTGCGGAAGTACCGGGAGAAGAAGAAGGCTCACACTGCCTACCTTGAAGAGCAAGTCAACCATCTCCGAGCTCTCAATCAACAGCTTGTGAAGCGTCTTCAAGGGCAAGCTTCTCTCGAAAGCGAGGTTATTCGGTTGCGGTCGATTCTGTCAGAGTTTCGTGGTCGAATTGACGCTGAGATTGGCAGCTTCCCGGTCCAAGCATCGAAGTGCCCTACCAGTACTGCACTCGTCGCAAAGACTGTTCCTAATGGCGAGTGTGAAGTTCAGCCCCTCTCTGGTGGCTTCTGTCTCAACACAGTGTCAGTCCCGTGTGTTACTGATGTTCCTTGTTTGCACACTTCAGCCTCTGGGACTTCCCTGTCGCGGCCTCCCATGACGCCGAGTTCGGAACCAGCCAAATGGCATGGGAACAGCCCAACGTCGGATTGCGTCCCTTCAGATTCCACTGCCATGCACATGAGCTAAAGCGGGCTTGGAAATCGATTCAGGTTGACCCAAGACTTTGTCTTTACTATTTGAATGATCCTCCAGAAGACAAAACTACGTTTCGTGTAGGGGTTCTCCTCATCCGCATTGTTTTTGTCCTTTACTGCCGCTGAAGGATAGCAGTGGCACTTCGAAGTTCTTAGTAATGAGCCGGGGGATTCTTTAGAGAACCTCAAATTTAGAAAGTATTGGTCTTGAAGCATTTATTGAATGATTAATCTACTCGCGAATGTGCAGAGTAGCAGTTGGAAGAGTGTAGTCGGTATATCCATTCAATTGCTCCAGCGATCTCTTGCTCGTGAGATTATGTACATAACCAGTACGCGCTGTACTATCCTCTGTGGTACCGACTATATTTTTTGAGAGGGCTTTTGCTTTCAGGTGCCTGGATGCACTAATTCCTCAATTGAGTTGAAGCATATTTCGAGTTACGATGTATACGTGGTTCCAAGAAGTCTCATAATCAGGGTCTGCGTTTAACTCTGGGATTGATTAGAGTTTGCTTGTGGGGTGTATTCAAACTTCCGATCTCAATGTGGTTCTAGTGCTAATTATTCCGGGACTGCATCTCTTGGCATCAGCTTCGTCTCTCGTTATGGAACGATCCTATTCTTCAATTCATTGTGGTACTATTCTATTTCAATACCACACAGTACCAATTTTTTTCATCTATTCAATTATCTAATTTATACTATTTATGTTAAGAAACCGACTGTCACGTAGATAGTACAGTGGTACCTGCGAGAATCATTTGACCAATTTTCTCTCTCGCCGAGAACGAATCAGGATCTGGAATCTGTGATACAGATTCGAAGTTACAGTATTTGAAGCACGGTTAACGATTCACTTGCCTCATAAGGCTCTCGAATAGTTTATTAGATGATGCAGTCAGTTCTATTAACGCCCTTGAAACGTTTTCTTGTCAACCACGATTCCTAGCATTGTGTGGTCAGATCATTACATGCAATGTGAGGGTTTAACATGTTTACTGGGCGATTGTCAAGTAGCCTTTTTGGAGATTTTACAGGTCTTTTTGAGTTTTACACGTTCTACCTTTGACCACTCTTGCAAAGAACTCCCGCAAATTGGGAGGAATATTCAGCTCTTCGAATCTATCAAAAGCCAGTGCGGTCGCGGTGGAGGCGAATTCGTCGTGCAGAGTTACAGGACATTTCTCCAAAGCCACAAGCAGGGCCGTAACAATCCCATCAACCGCGAATACAATGGTGCAAGTGATGGCTGTGATGGAGCCCAAGTGGGTTTTTTGCAGTGTTAGCCTCGGCTGCTGCTTTCTGTCATGGAATATGCACAGTGTTTTGCCTACAGTTGTTTATGGTAACATTGGTCAGTTCATATTGATCATAAGGCAGTTTTTAATGTCACGTGGTTTTTTCTGGATTTTGCGAGCATCGTTAAGCAGTGAAGTCACTTGTCTAGAAAACACTTGCTATTCACCACTTGAAGCCCATTCCAGCTCAAATCAATGACTAGTTGCCTAGTGCAGATGTCTTCGGCTTATCTTAGAAAATTATGTTTCCATTCCGACATTACCGTTGTTGCCACGCTTAGAAACTCGAAATCAGTCGAATTGTTATAGGTCGAGGGGGACTTTTGCTGCAGGTCTCATTGGATTATATTTGAAGATAATTTATTAAAAGACTCAGTTATTTATGAAATACGTGGTTGTTTTAATGAAGCAAAATCAACGTTTCGAAAATTAAAAAAAAATCAATCGAATTAAAATGTCACATTTTTTTTAGGATTTTAGGATATGATACTAAAATCTTAAAATCCTAAGAACATGTACTTTGACATTGTTGTAGTTGTTCTTGTCAAAATATTAAAAATAAATTAAAATTTCTGAATTTAAAAAACAGTAAAACCAATATTAATTTTTTTGGCTGTTGTCTAAAAAACTTGGTTTTTTTTTTTTATATTACCATTAATATATAAAAATATATTATAAATTATTATTAATAAAAATTCTATAGGATGTTGAAAATAAATATAAAATTTAGTTAAAATCTAATAAGCTAAAAAAAAAAAATTGTTGCATGAAAAAATACAATATAAAAGCTATAATTAATGTTATTTGACATTTATTTTTAGACTTAATGATTTATTCGAGAATTGCATGTTTATTTATTTATTTTTTAAAGATTTTTTTATGATTATTTTGTTTTATGAGATTTTTTTTGAAGAAAATATAACACAAAATATGCATAAATTTTTATATATATATATATATATATATATATGCATACATAAACATGTGTATATATAGAGAATGGTAGTAATAATAATATACTATGTGTTTGCATATGTTCATAAATAAGAATTTAAGTTTTGAAGAAGCTCGAAATGCATGTTAAGTTTAAATAAAATTTAATTTGTTCTATATACATATATGTATATGTGTAGGGAAATGTTAAAATGACCCACCCATTTACCAAATCAACCCACCCTACGAGGGGTGAGTGAGAGGGAACAAGAGAGAACAAGGGAGGGATGAGGGGGATTGGGATGAGAGCTGGGAACAAAGGGAGGAGAACAAGGGGGTCAAGATGATGAAGGTAGGAATGGAGAGAGTGGGGGTTGAGAACAAGGGGGTTGGGATGAGGGCTATGATTGTAACTATGGTTACAATATGGTGGGTTGATTTAGTAAATGGGTGGGTCATTTTAACATTCTCTTTTCTATATATATATATATATATATTTATATTTCAAGCTTCATATAATTATTATAAATTAATTATAAATTATTTTTATCATTTATATATTTGCAATATTTTAATTATTTCTTGTGCATTTTAAAAATATAATTTAGAAAATTATTAATTTAAATTTTTTTTGCCTTGTATTAAAATACAACTTATGCATTTTTCTACAAATGCAGATATTTTGGCATTCCCCTTAAATATTTTGGTACCCCCAAAAGTTCTTTTCACACAAGAAGAATATAAGTTCAACTTAAGAACTTGAGAACAAATTCCCAATGATATTCCCAAGGGCAATAGCCCGGAAGAAGACGAAAATATCCAAAGGGGACACTGAAACATTGCTGTCCGTATATAAACTTATGTTTCCATGCAATCAAACAGTGGTGAAGTGGACGCTGACGTGGAGGGAGGCCGTGGACTCCACCGTGGCAGAAGAATATCCACGTAGGAGCCCGCCAGAGGCGTCCCGAATGCTCAGTCACGACTGGAGGAATAGCTCCGGTACGGGCCTAAGTCCGAACCGAGTCGCACCAACTTCCGGACCTAGTCCAAACCGGAAAGATCGAACTGCAGGGCCTAGGCGAGCCGGGGTCACGTGCAGGTTGCAAAGGGAGAGAGAGGCACAAGATTCGGCGCAGCAGGGGTCACAGGACGGGGTAGCGATGGCAGAGATGCGGTCGCTGTTTGCTGGGAGGGAAGCTTCATGGCCACTCTCCACGCTCATCGCAGCAGCTGCAGCCACTAATGCTTTCATTGCCCTTTCCCTTCGCACTTTTCCACCTCCCTCCATGCTACTACGAATGGCCATCGCTCATGTGAGACGGACCGCCAAGCCACGAGCCTTCGAGCCAGCTCGATTGCACGCATTTCTTCCGCCTGGTCTTGTTGACTTGTGCGAATTTCTCCGCGAACCGGCGGTTGGCTTGGCTTCGGAGCTCTATGAGAGAGAATTTTTTAAGGGAGGGAGGGAGCGAGGGAGGAAGAGAAGGTAGTGGATCGAGGGGATTATTTCGAACTTGGTGAAGCGTTGCAGTTTTCGGGTGAGCCTGTGTGCCACGTCGACGTAGAACGAATCGGCTTCGGTTTTTAAATTGCAGGTGCGTGCTGGAAGGGTGGTGATCGTTTTGGAGGAGGTGGACTGATGGATTGGTGTTTGTTTTCTTTTTGGAATGGTGAATTTCTTGGGAGGGAGGTGATGGTGAGGTGGAATTTGGTGTCGGTTTTCAGTGGCCACTCTTCTTGGCACTGCCCTGCCATTCTGCATTGGATTCCTTGTCTGTTATCTGTAGCTGCGCTTCATGTACTTCCTTTTTGTTTGGTTGCATGGACGTCTCGGAGCGTTGGTTAGATAGGTCCTTGTCAAGGCTCTTGTCTTCGTCGTCGTTGTTGTTATTCTTCTTCTTTGTACCCGGAGAGACTGAGCAGTAGTTATGCCATGCTAATGTTTCGCCTTCACTATGTGTATCTCGTGTAGTGTTTGCGGACGGTGTGTGACGAAATTCTAGTGTTGTCTGGTTTTCTTTTATTGCAATCGTGGCGGAAGCGAGGTTTGGCTGGATCGTTGCATGTACAGTGGATCCACTAGTGGATTGTTTGTGAGGCTATTACAGCGAAATGGCTCGAAGACGACTTCTGTGTCATGTACTGGAAGCTCGCTTTTTATTGGTAATTAAGAAGCACTTGTACTTGAAATAATTCTGTAGTTTTTAATTTTCTTGGGAATTTTCAGAATGTGCTTGGGACGATTTGCCTATTGGTTACAGTAGGGTTCTTCTCCAGGCTGCATTAGGAATTCTGTGCGTGATTTGAAGTTGTTTTTTATAGTTGCATGAAAAGTATCTCGGTGTAGCTATTGACACATCCTTATTGCAAGGACATAAGGTCGTCACAATTGGTCTGTTCATCCTAAATTTAAATGAAGGTTTATGGAAGAATTCGTCTAAAAGTTCAACCGCAATTTATCTAGCAACTCAATTGGAGAGCAGCAAGGGGCCTTTGATAATGTGGAAACACGACCGCCGTTTTGTTGTTTATCCTGATGATCTAGTAGGACCTAGGTGGAAATGCAACGTACGCACGTCCTTTTGTCATCCAGAGAATTAACGAACTTGAATATTTGGTAATACGCGCGGATAACCTCGTAGTCATTTTCTGTTGGGTCAGTATACTTTTTATTTCTATAGCGAGCGTGTTACTGTTGAGATAAGTTGTTCAGTGGTCATGTCAGTGGTGCACGGGGTAATTTTTTTTCAAAGATGGGTGTCCTCCTAGTGGAATCTGAGACTCTTCTTCTGTTGCTAGCCCAAGCCTTTATGCCAGAGGTCACTTGATATCCTTAAGACTCGCATCTCATTTGAATATCATCGTGAAGCCTGTGTGCTGCCAGCTTAAGCATGTCAGTAATAAGTTACCCGTTATATCGAAACTCTCATCACCTGAAGTGCATATCATGTATATTCACTATTCTCCAGGCACTGACCTTTTGTTATCAACAGACACAATATGCTGACTCGCTCAGCCCGACGACTTCTTGGAAGAACTTGCTCCATAGCGAAATACCAAAATGAAGATTTCTCAAAATTCGTAGATAATTCTGGAGCCCACCACTCGCATCGGAAGGGTCCCGCCCTGACAGAGCTGTGTAAGTTCACTGGTTTGGATGGAGAATGTTCCGGCTTCCAAAATGACATATTGAAAAGGGGAATCTCCTGCGGGCATCGTGTGTTCAGCACTACAGGTTTTCGAGTATTAGACCCGCTACAACAAGGGATGTCAGAGATGATGGCCGACCTGGCTCCTCTGCCATCAGATATTCGCTATGAGGACCTCGTAATTACAAGATCGAAGCACCTTCAGGTTAGTGTTTTTGTGGATCGAGGTAGAAAAGTGGAGCTTTCGATATGTGCTTTTCTCCAGATCCGAGCACCATAGCTTTAGATTGCAATCCTGTGGAGGCTCAGGGATCGACATCACTTATGATGGAGCAACCTAGAGAGAGTTAGTTAGTAGCGAAACACCTAACACCTTTGCCTTTAGAAACAAAATATGATTCAGAAGCGTTTGCAATGCATGGCAGGTGAAACCCAAACTAGATGCGACAACACTCAAGTTTGGAGCGGTATATAGTGACCACATGCTGCAAGCTTCATGGAAGGATGGTCTTGGCTGGACGGCCCCCTCCATTGATCCACTGGGTCCCATTTCCCTCCATCCATGCGCACAAGTCAGCTCCTGTCCCTTGTTTGTCTATTTTCTGCATGGTTTAAAGTGGCATTTGAGTCTGCATTAGGTGTATGGCCTTGACATTTAAGCCTCAGCTACATCATGTACATGTATCTGTTAATTGAAGATACTGTAGGAGTTTCTTTGTTTCTTCAAAAAATGAAATCTATATAAAAGGATTTAAAACTGCTACACTTGCGTTAGTCAATTGTGAAGAAGTTCATTGACAAAAATCTGGCGTTTCTTCCTCCAGGTGCTGCACTATGCGGTTGAATGTTTTGAGGGGATGAAATGTTACAAGGGAAAGGATGGGCGATTGAGACTTTTTCGTCCTGATATGAATATGGATCGTTTGGCGCGTTCTGCTGCTCGTCTAACATTGCCTCATTTTGACAAGGTTTGATGTTTTGAACTTATCTTTGGATTGAGGACTTCACGTACACGGTCCGCACTTGGTAAGGATTGATATGACTGGACAATTTTCTCAGATACTTTCTTACAGCAGAACTCGAAATGCTGTTCCAGGATTTGTCTAGGTCTAGATACTCTGCTTCATTGACACAAATTTCTTTTGATATCACCATCTGCTTGGTTGAGGATTTAATCTGTCTAGAAATGACTTTTGCCATGTGATGTCTTGCTCCAATATTCTTCTGGAAACTTAATTTCCAAGGATACATTTTAAAGCAGTCCTTTCTGTATCGAGAGTAATCCTCCAGAATCCAAACTATCTCTTGTAATCGCTATGCAGGTGGAGTTGCTGGAATGCATAAAAGAGCTTCTGCGAGTGGAGCGTGACTGGGTTCCTGACAAAGAGGGCTTTTCAGTATACATTCGACCGACGATGATTGGCACTCACCCGTTTCTCGGCGTCGGTCCAACAAGAGAAGCCCTGTTGTTTGTTGTTCTATCACCGGTTGGTCCATATTTTCCCAGTGGCTTGAAACCCATTAAGTTGTATGTCGAGACACAGAACGTGCGTGCTTTTCCAGGAGGGGTAGGAGATAAGAAGATAGGTGGTAATTACGCCCCAACTATACTGCCTCAACTGAATGGTTCTCATCTGGGCTGTTCGCAAGTATGTTTTCATTACTCTCATAGTGTGAATTTAAAGGTTAACAATCAGTTGCTGAGATCTCTTAACTGCACAAGCAGTGAAGCTTACATTGTCTGTGTTGTTTAGGTGTTGTTCGTGTTGCAAGACGGAAATTCTACGGGCGGTCTTGTTGGAGAGTCAGGTTCAATGAATATGTTCTTTCTCATCCGACAAGAGGGCAAGGATGGTGATCTGGAACTCGTGACTCCTCCTTTGGATGGGCTCATACTTCCTGGCGTTACAAGGGACACTGTGCTCACACTTGCACGGGGATTTGGAGGCATGAAGGTGTCTGAGAGGCCTCTTCGTTTTGATGAGGTGACTTTCGACTGTCATTTCTACGTTAGAGTACTTGCTGAACAGTCCTTTGATCCTCGGAAATCTTGATATTTTTTGAGTGGCATGCAGTTGTGCATGAAAAGTTGTGGATTAGTACTCATGCATCTTTTGGCACTGGACACCTGCAGCTGGAGCGAGCTGCGGAAACCGGTCGATTATTGGAGGTGTTCGGTACAGGCACAGCTTGCATGATACAGCCAGTGATGGGCCTCGTAAAGAAAGATCACACTGAGATCGCCATTCCATTTAACGAGGAGGCTGCGAAGTACTGGCTAGCTAAGCCACCTGGAATAGCTGCGCTCCCAGATTTATCCGGAGGAGAGCCATTCAGCCTATGCGGGCGTCTAAGCAGAGCACTTCTTGATGTACAATATGGATACATCGACAGTCAGTGGTCAATTATGGTTGACCCATGAATAGACTCAGAAAAACGATGCTACGATCAAGTTTTGTGCATAAGATTGAGACACATCAAATCAACATAGCAGTTGCAATTTTGTTGAGTTTTGTTTTTATTTTTTCTTCTCGAAGAAACCTACTACAATGCCAAGTAAATCTATGAAATAGTAAATGTGCAATTCCAAATCTCAACCGACTGGGTCTTTCAGCATGCTCTCGAAATGTGTTTAAAACGTGCAGTAACAGCATGTGATGTAGATTGCACCAAATTCAGTCTCTTCTGACACATGTACACTCTGCCCCAGGTGCGCAGCTATGAATGGAGCCAACTGTGAAGAATGTTGCAAGACATCTCGGTGACTGGTGCAGTCCAAGTAACATACTGAATACGACTATCTTAGAACCGGTATCGCTGATGAACCGGTTGTTTGCTATAACAACTGGGAATTAGTAACCATGTCCGTAACGTCAAACGCACAGAAAACAACCATTGAACATGTAGGTCCTCACAGATTTGAAAATTCACACCGAACACAGTGGTGTTTGCTTCAGGGTCAGAAATACATCACGGTGGACAACTTGGCACTCAACCGTTTCAACCAGTATCAATTATCATGTCATGGCACTTACATCCACTTTCATGTGGAATAAGGTTGCAGACCGAACTTAAAAGCATGCTTCAAGCTCCACCTTCACGAAGAGGTTTTCCCATTGCGTCATGTACCCATACACTAATTAATGTATTTAACTGATACTAGACTAGGATTAGACTAGGATTAGACTAGGATTCTCCTAACCTCGCTGTATGCTGACAGCTTCTCCTTGCTGATGTATCTGATTCAAGCGAAGGCTGATTGTTGCTTTGGTTCAATTCTTGCTGTTTGTGATAGAAATCGCACTGCCAGCTACAAGCAAGGCCCCAAGGAAACTTACCAGCGACGGAGTTTCACCCAAAAATGCCACTCCAAGCAAGTAGGTACAGATTACCTGAAAAAAAAAAAAAACAGCAAACAAAATAATAAGTGTTCACATGTAAACACATGAGAGGATGCAGAGAGAACTGCCTCAAATGAGACGTAATGCGCGATGAAGGAAAATATAGGACATCCATGCACGTCTTCTCCTAAAGGCTAAGTGAGTTTTCTCTAGAAGATGAGACAGATTCGTACTTTAAGATGTTGAAGAGAGGAGGCCTTCGCAGCCTTTTCCAATTGCAGGCCCCTTGTCAAAAATACCTGCCAAATACCATCCTAAATCAGCTTTTTCTTCTCGTTGGAGGAATATCTTTCTTACTGTTCTTAAATTTGGGTATGAATTTGAATCTGATAGTGAGAGCATCGTGCACATAAGTAGCAATCAAAACAACCAAAGAAACACCCACGATAATAGTTTGTATGATATTGGTGAAGCTTCGACTCTAGTAAGGAGGTTAAAAGAATTCAAACCTGTGCAGTAAATGCTGTCAATCCCACCATCACCAATCCAGCTGCCTCAATTAGGATCGGAACTTTGAGCCCCTAGATGGTAAAAATTCGAACTTAGGTGTTATATACAAAAAAGAACTATACGAAGGGAAACTATAACTCTGCCTAAAAGTACTCGTTAACTGGCCATTCAATGAATCAGGCCTCTGTAGAGAAATTCTATCATAGAAGAGGTACCTGAAAAAACATGGCCACTGCAGAAAACGGCGCGGAAAAAGCAGCGAAGGCAAAGACGCAGACCCTGTGTCAGTAAAACCCACGATTAGTCACAAGGATTGCCACTATGGCTACGTACAAAGGTAACTACACAATTTGGACCCTGCTTTGCCAGAGACAAGAAGAGCTGGTCTTCGATGTCTATTAAAAGCACCTAGACTTCTTCAATATGCAATGCATGAACACCTGCAGCAACGGCATTTGAGGTGAAAGAGTTTGCAGATTGTCTGACAGATAAGCATCATGAGTTACAGTATCTTACAGTGGCGGTTCACCCTGTCGACCAATTGATCGCACAATAACATATGAAAGGGCTCCTAAAGAGGACCCTAATAAGGCCGCTACAATACCCACGGCGATGTTGTTCATGGGATCCACTGTTGCATCTCCTGAATTAACCAGCACGGCGCACACCATCGGTGAGGTGCAAGTAAACACTATCATTGTTCGGGATAAACAAAATAAGAATGGCAACTCAAAAAAATCCTTATCATATTTGTTGCACTCACACCTTGCATAACGAACCGCGCACTGCATACAAATTTTCTCAGCTTCGTGGTTGCTAATACTTATCAAGTGGTACAGATATGTCCTCATACAAGACACTGCACAAATCATCGACCCAATGATTCGACTATAAACAGCTCCTCATACAAAAATTTGATCTTGCGTAGATGAAAAATGTGCTTTCCAAATGATACTAACTACATGGATAAATTACAAATCCTCGATTTAGTTACAGAACTTGAGCCCAGGGCGTAAACATGATAGGGAAAGGAATGCAATCTAATCAAAGGTTGATAATAAGATGTGAAGGGATATGCAAACCTGAGAACATAAACTGCGGTTGTGAAACAAGGATGACACCCAGAAAGCTGAAAAAAGTCCCTGCATGATCAAGAAATGAATATTCAAGACAAATTCATCAACTAGTTATGAAGGTCACCACCACATTGTGCGTTCAAATGTTAAGGACATGAAGGTCATTTACTTAGACGAACATGAACATGGACGGCATTAAGGACATTAAGGACATTGAGGTCTCTGCAGCCGCTACAATGACTTCCTAGTTATCCATCAACACAATCCTAGCATGTTTGGTTAACGATAGTCTATTTTTGCATTACATTATCCAAAAAAGTGTGTCATTAAAATTGTGATTAATAAATTTTACGAAGAATTTAAAAATAAGTAAATCTAAGACATGTTTGCTAACCGTAAACGACACGAGAGCCAAACATGCATCAGTTACTTTGATGATTTACCGGCAGCTTCACGTTTTCCCCATCTCTCGTTCAACATAAGAGCTGCCAAAATTGCTGTGAAGATGGGCATTGTGAAGTTGAGCACTGTTGCATCCCGCAAAGGTAACACTTGAATGCTGCACACTTTTCAACCAAATTCATAGAATCATACTTGTCCTCAGATATCGTGAAATGAGAGCACGCATAGTGTACATTAATTTCAACTAAAAACACCTTCCAAGGTTAACATTGGATTACATATCACAGTGTATGGACTCATGAGCAAGACAATGTCTCATTACGCGAGCGAAGATTTCGTAGAGACTACAATCATTTCGACTAATATACTTATAAGTTCAGAAATTCCACCTGTAAAAGTATGTGGATAGGGCAATGTAACCTACAAATGCACGGGCCAATACCAACTGCCTCACTTCAGGACTTCCTAGTAACGGATGCCTCATCCTCTTCAGCCCTGCTCCAGCCAATACTGCTACAATTGTACACCGGCACAAAACTACTTCCGAAGATGGGACTCCGCTCACTGGTAGAAGTGACAGTTGTTAGGTGCAGTAGCCAACGAGCATGAAGCAAACCAAGGAACTGAACTGTTATTTCCATACATGCAGATAAAGTGTGCAAAATTTTGACATAGTTGAAAGTATAAACACCAGCAAGAGCTACGTGAAGGAGAATAATTTGAGAATAGGATGAAACCTGACAGAAGCTTCACAAACAGGCCCATGAAGCTGTAGGATATAGATGAGATCACCATGCAGGCAACGCCCGAAAGGTTTGAGCCTCCCCATTCCCACCAATTGTTGTTGTTGTTGTTGTTGTTGTCAGATGAAAGAGGAACACCCTTCGAATGAAGTGGGGAACTATTGCTAGGAAAACTTGATAGTCGATTCAATAGACGTCCTTTCGGAGAAGATATTTGGATATTGAGCTCCATTTTTGATAATCCATCACTTGTAGACATGCTGAATGTAGGTATCAGATTACATCCTGTGAAAAGATGCGATCATTTCGCCTCAGACCGAAAGGCCATTCTAAAACCATAAAGACTCAAGACATTACTGTCAATAGCAAGCTTGACATTAACAAAATACACTCTTGTTAGTTTCGAAACCCCTGTGGAACGAAGACAACCATCTCAAAATGCAACGTAGATTAACAACAAACCGCGTTTGCCAGGATGCACCAATCTGATGGTTGAAAGAAAAAGAAAAAAGAACCGAAGGCACGGCGACATTGACAACTTTCTAAGTCGAAAGTGTTGAGCCTCAGTTAGAAGCCACAATTATCGCTTTAGAATGAATGCAAAGCTGATTATTACAATTAAGAAGCAATCAATCTCCTAACCTAGCGCATACGAACTAAGTCCAGGTGACTCAACATGATCACCCTCTAATGTGAGACATTAAAATCTCATGCGCTTCTCAATTCCTCGGCACAAGGCACAAGAGGATTTTCATGACAAGTAACGAACAGCATTGCAGGTGCAGGAGCATTTCCAACCCGCGCGTTTTATTACAAAATAGCACTCATCCTACTTGGATCGATACACACCGAGAAACCATGTTCACAAACCTGAACTACAGAAAGATGAAGAACGCTACACCTCACAAACACAAGCAGCAACGCACCTCAGCGGATGAGCAGGGAGGCGAGCAAAATCACAGTTTGCACTGAAAGCAAGCTCCAAGCGAGTGCCCTAAACGTCAAGTTCTGAAGCAGAAAAAACAAAAACTCTCAAGATGCACCAACCAATTCCACCGTCCTCTCCTCCGAGAATTGAGATGCAGTGCAGACCTAATCGCATGGCCCAGCTCACGAAATGGCACGCCGCAACATCAGAAGCAAACACGGGTGAGAGTGTGTGTGTGTGTTGTAAGCACAGCTGAGTTAGCATACCGACAGGGTTGAACGATGCATTTCAAGGATGTGGGTCCTCCTGGAAAAGGCCAAAATCTGCCGCACCTGGCGAAAGAAACTACTGATTTCCTCGGAGTCACGCTGCTCCCCTTCAATTCGGCTCGCATCCTCCATTCTCCCTCACCCTCTTCTCTCTTTCCTCGCTTCCTTGTTTTCCCGACTTTCAACGCACAGTCAAAAGTTGCACTTTGCTCATCACTATTTTGAAATTTGTGTGAAGACACGTCTAGTTCATTTTGTACTTCAGCGCACTTCCTTGGACTTTTCCAACAAAACAACTGTATATTCTCTCATTTTTCTCAAATTTGCTTTAGTTTAAATTTTATAAATTTTTATATTTAATCTTACTATCAATATAATACCAAAATTTTATTATAATTAAAGAAATCAATACAATTGTATATTACACAAGATTTATATTTATTTATTATCTTTTAAAATTTATCAAATTAGTTTTTACTTACAATGGTTAGAAAGATCTAAAATACTTAAAAAACTCCAAATATTCAAATAAACATTTAGTAAATAATGTCTTAAAAAAGAAACGTCAATAAAAAAAAGTTTGATGCAAATTAGATTTATTAGTGTTCTTAGATGTACCGTATGGCTAAATAAAATTCTTTTAGAAGATTTTTTTAAGAATAAAATTACTAAAGAAGTGTCTTATAACACAAAAACTTAGTTTGCCAAACTCTATAGCAATAAAGAATCTACTACATAGCCTTCTTATTATCTACTATAGATGATGGTAACACTAAGTCCATCTTCAATCATATCAATGTCTTTGTTATATCTCAATTTTTTTTGAAGACTTATTAATTTTTGCTCTAAAAATATTCATAATAAAAAATTATTATCATTTTAAAAATATATTCATTGTTAGTCTTTTTTTAAATTTTTATATAATTATACGATATTTTAATAAATTAACATATTCATGTATTCAATAATAATATCAAAAAACAAAAAGAAAAAAAATACCAAATCAAAGGTTCTATATCTACAAATTAAAAAAAGTTTTAGAGCATTTTAAGTCTAAAATTGATTTTATAGATTCCTAAAATAAGAAAATATGTCAAATCAAATCTTATAAAATCCTATCTATTTTAGAAATCAATTTAAAATTTAAAATAGTCAAATCATTAATATCTAGAAATTTGTACACTTTTAAAATAATTTAAAGACATATTTAGAATGGACAACCTACAAATGCACCAAGTGACATTTTCAAAACTTTTAAAAATCCTTCTAAAACAAAAGTCAAAATCATAAAGCCAAAGTCAAAGTTGATATGTCTTGCAAACTAATTACTTGTAGAGTAAGTTATTTATTTCATTGGAATTGTAGACATTGAAAATTAGGGAGTAGATCAAGTCAAAATCAAAAAATAAAGAGGTAAGAAAATCAAATATATTTATATAACTCTAAACACTAAATTCTATATCCAAAATCTAATTCCAAATCCTAAATTCTAAATCTTTTAATAATAGGGTGATAGATAGATGTATAGATGTAGTGACTTTGAAGAAGACTAATGGTGGTGGATATTAGAAGAAAAAAAGAATGTATAAAATTTTATTAGAAGAGCTTGCCACTTCATTTGAGAGTATTGTACAAATTGGGATGATCATGTATAAAGACAAATCTATATTTTAAGCCTATGCAATGAAAACATAGATTATATGGTTTAAGTCAGATCAATAAATAAATAAATAAATATATTTAAAATAAATCTAAATAGAAAATTTTACAACCACAATGCAAATATATACTTATATAATTTATCTATTTCATTATCATAGTATAAATATGTCAAAATATATATAGAATTATATTATATATAATATTATTTTATTATATAGAATAAAAAAAATGTAATTTTAAAAAACTTCTATTTTTTATATTAAAGATTTGTCAAAGATTTTAAATATATTATTAGAATTAAAAGCATTACAAATAGGAGAAGAAAAAGGAAGGAAAAAGAGTAAGAAGGAGTAGCTCAACTCAAAATTTTAAAAATATAAAGCAAAATAAATCAACAAAAAAATCTTATATCTAAAAGTTAGTAAATTTATTATTATAAAAATATATATTTATTCCATCAATTACCTATATATATATATATATATATATATATAAATAGAAGTTTATAAATTTAATAATATCTTGTGAAGAAGCTTCTTAAAAGCTTCATAGATGTGGATTTTTCTTCATATGTGTCTAAAGGTGATTAGTAGGTTAAAAATTTGCCAATAAATTGGTCGTTTGTCATACAATTTGGATATTTGACACATGTATAAGAAGCTTGCTTTATAAATTGGACTGTTAGGGACATATTCCTTAGAACTTTCTAGAGAGAAGTTTCTAGAACCTTCTAGAAAACAAGCCTCTGGAATCTTCTAGAAGAGAAGCCTTTAGAATCTTCTAGAAGAGAAGCCTCTGGAACCTTTTAGAGAGAAGATTCTAGAAGCTTCTAGAAAGGAAGTCTCTGGAACCTTCTAGAAGAGAAGTTTCTAGAAGCTTCTAGAAAGGAAGCCTCTGGAACTTTCTAGAAGCTTCCTAGTTAATAGAAGTAGCTCGAGAAGCTTCCTAAGTAGGAGTATATATAGGGATCGAGGCTGAAGAGTTCTTCAGTCTCGACAACACATCTTTTGGAGTTCTAGCTCACCTTTCTGGTGTTGTTCTTGTACTCATCTGTTTAATCTAGTTCTGCCACTTCTTTTTGAACTTCTTGTTAGATTTCAAGTCTGTATTTTGTGTTCGTGACAGTTTGTCGAGACTGCACTAACTTGAGATATTAGAGCTAGTTCTTTCTTAGTAGAGTGTGGATTACCCCTCTACTTGAAGGTATACTAGCATTTTTAGAGGTTGCGGATTACCCTTCTCTAAATTGATACTTCTTTTGTTACAATATTGGAGTCTTATTCTTCTTGGAGAGAGTGGATTACCCCTCTTCTTGAAATTCTTAAGGCGTTTTATAGGTTGTGGATTACCCTCCTATAAACCAATATTGCCTCTTGTAGATTCATTTTTGTCCTTCTTTTAGAATGGCCGGAGATCAAGACATTAGTATGACAGAAAGTTTAGAGTCTAAGTTAGATGCTATTATGAATGCCCTCGCTATGTTGTCACAAAGAACTGCAGAGATTGAAGGAGTGGTGGCAAGGCTTCATAATGATGGAGTATCTGGGATAGCACAATCTAAACCACACCAGCCTCAAACTTCTGCACTTGGAGAAACAACTTTACCTCAGGTTCGACAAGAACCACTAGTTCTATAACATAAGGAGCCTCGAGTTAGCCTTCCAGATAAGTTTGATGGAATACGTTCCAAGTTTCGAGGATTTGTCAATCAAATCAGGTTGATAATAATTTTACAGCCCGAACGATATTCAACGGAGGAGTCACGTGTTGGGCTTGTTGGAACCTTACTTACGGGACAAGCTCTATCATGGTTTGCCCCTTTGTTTGAGAAACGATCATCCATATTAAACAACTTCGAAACCTTTTTGGAAGCATTTGCAGAAGCATTTGGTGAACACGATAAGGTTCGATGGGCTACAACAAAGATCCGGTCGCTACGACAGGGGATGCGTTCTACATCACTCTATGCTTCGGATTTCAGGTAATTAGTATGCGACATCAATTGGGATGAAGAAGCGTTGATGAGTCAATTCTATTGGGGTTTAAGAGATGATGTGAAGGATTTGCTGTTAACTCTTCCTGATCCACGAACGCTCAATGAAGCCATTAGCCAAGCTGTGAAGTGCGATAATCGCCTATTCCAACGTCGCCAAGACCAATGCTCAAGACAACATACAATTCGCCATGCTCCAACTGTGTCGGCAAGTAGTGTGAATTCGCATTCAGAGGTAGAAGACGTGCAAATTGATGCGGTACGTATCAAATCTCTTACTATAGAAGAAAAAAAGCGACGTATGGAGGAAAATTTATGCTTGTATTGTGGTGGAGAAGGCCACAAAGTCAGAAACTGCTCCAAAAAGTAAAATCGAGGCATAGTCAAGACTAGGGGAGTATTTGTTCAGGAAAACGAGGATGCCCAGCCACAGTAGGAACCATGCGGCTGGACAATGAAATATCCCAACAACAATCAGGTTCCTTTCTTTCTGCCCAACCTACACTTTGTTTTACAATCCCTCTGTTTATCGGCCCTCAAAAACTAAGAAACTTAGCACTACTAGACTCAGGAGCATCTGCTTGTTTTTTAGACAAAGAATTTGCAAAGCGTCATAAGATCCCTTTAGTACAAAAATCAAAACCTGTTCATGTTGAGGTCATAGATGGGCGACCTTTATTGTCTGGTAGCATCACCCATGAATCAAAACCTATAGAAGTAACGTTTAAAGACCATAGTAGTCATATTATTTTTAATATTATTAGAACTCCATCAAATCCTATTATTCTTGGTCTTTCTTGGTTGGAAAAACATAATCCATTGATAGATTGGAGGTTGCGGAAGATGACTTTTCCTACAAAACCACCCAAGAAAAAACCTAGTAAAAAACCTCAAAAAAAGAAATCTTTATTCATTGGAGCAAGAGCGTTTATAAGATCATCTAAGGAAGGCACTCCATTTGTCGTTTATGCGGCTCCAACTACCGAGGAAAAGATCTCAACAGCAAGTATACTGGAGCAATATAAGGATTTTGAAGACGTGTTTCAAAAGAAGAACGCCGACATACTACCGGAACATCGACCATATGATTGTGCCATAGACTTGCAAGAAGGAGCACAACCACCTTTTGGCCCAATCTACAATCTATCGCAAACGGAGTTGGCAGAGTTGCAAAAGTACATCGACGAGAATCTAGCCAAGAACTTCATTCGTCATTCAAAATCATCAGCTGGAGCACCCATCTTATTTGTGAAGAAGAAAGATGGATCATTACGGATGTGTGTGGACTATCGAGGCCTCAACAAGGTAACAAAGAAAAATCGTTATCCATTACCCTTGATTTCTAGTCTCTTAGAACAACTTGGACGTGCGAAGATCTTTACAAAAATTGATCTAAGGGGAG